TTTTTTTTTTTGGATAGGGTTTCTCTGTGTAGCTTTGCGCCTTTCCTGGAACTTGCTTTGTAGACCAGTCTGGCCTCGAACTCACAGAGATCCGCCTGCCTCTGCCTCCTGAGTGCTGGGATTAAAGGTGTGCGCCACCACCGCCCGGCCTAGATGGTATTCTTATAACTTAATAGATAATCTAAAAATCAATTTTAGGAAAACTGTTATTAGATAATAGTTATTTATAAAATAAGTTACTTATTAAAAAGTGATACTAACTAAATTTCATATCCATTTAAAATAATTTATACGCCATTCCTTTATTTCTAAATTTCAAGTAAAAGTGAGAAAGTGACTGTATATAGCCTCCATCTTATGAAGAAAGCAACATCTCCATAAAATTGGTTATCCAGGCAAGATATAATTATGCCTTTAATTGTGGAGTTCAGGATAAAGAAGAAAACATGAGCTCTGGTGACTCTTCATTGTAGCTTCAAGAAATAAATATAGAGGATGGGTTTCATTTTGGGGGGCGGGTTTTTTGTTTTTTGGGGTTTTTTTTGTTTTTTGAGACAGGATCTCTATATGTATCCCTGGCTATTCTAGAACTTCCCTTGTATACCAAGTTGGCCTCATAGAGATCCTCTTGCCGTGCTGGGATTAAAGATATGCACTACTTTATTTGGCCTTAATAGAGTCCCTTTTTTTTTTCCTTTAAGACAGGATAACTCTGTCGTAGACCAGGCCAACCTAGAGCTCACAGAGCTCCACCAGTCTCTGCCTCTGTTGGGATTAAAGGTGTGTACCACCATGCCCAGCCTTCTAAATAAAGTCTTGATAGGACCCCAAATCCATTATAAAAATGAAAGACCCCTTGAGTCAATCTTTAGCATCATCCTGGCTGGAAACAGGAGGGAAAAAAGGCTCCGGAGGTAGAGGCAGGAGGATCTCTGTAAATTCGAGGCTAGCCTGGTCTACATAGCTAGTTCCAGAACATCCAGGACTACATAGAGAGACCCTGCTCAAAACCAAACCAAACCAAAGACCTCCTGAGTTTTTGTATACTTATCAATATACAAAAGATATGCCTTAGTCACCTTGTTCCTGTTCATCAAGTTTTGAGAGGGTTTTGTTGTTGTTTTTCTTTTGTTTTCTATTTATCAATGCTTGTGAAATACAACTTTGTGCATGAGAAATAGCTCTAAAGGAGAGGCCTGTTGCTACATGACAGCTTATTCTGTTGTGTAAGACATTTCAGTGCACTGCTAATTTGAACATTTCCTAAACAACATTTGTTGTTGCGATTACTGTTTTGTTTTGCTTCGGTAACAGCAGATAGTGCTGATGGTTTTCACTTCTCTTGTGCTGGCACAGACAAATTCAGGTGTTGGGAGTTAAGGGCTGTGGCTGCTGAAAGTGGGCCAGATGCTGTGACCTACATAATCTATTGGCGCTAGTTAGTATTGAGGACTGTTGACTCTTTACTTTGGGCTTTTAGTTTACTCTTTTTTTTTTTTTTTTTTTAAGATTTATTTATTTATTATGTATACAGTATTCTGCCTGCATGTATCCCTGCAGGCCAGAAGAGGGCGCCAGATCTCATTACAGATGGTTGTGAGCCTCCATATGGTTGCTGGGAATTGAACTCAGGACCTTTGGAAGAGCAAGCAGTGCTCTTAATCTCTGAGCCATCTCTCCAGCCCACTCAGTTTTGGTTTTGGTTTTTCGAGACAGGGTTTCTCTGTGTAGCTTTGCGCCTTTCCTAGAACTCACTTTGTAGACCAGGCTGGCCTCGAACTCACAGAGATCCGCCTGCCTCTGCCTCCTGAGTGCTGGGATTAAAGGTGTGCGCCACCACCGCCGGGTTAGTTTACTCTTTAAAGGGTTAGTTAACTCTTTAAAGGGAAGAAAATAGCCAGGCATGGTATCAACACACCCTTAAGGTGGGAGCTGGTGGATATCTGAATTCAAGGCCAGCCTTGTCTACATAATGAGACCCTGTCTCGATAAATAAAGTTAATAAAAGGAGGAACTGGGCATGGTAGCACACACCTTTAATTCCAGCATTCAGGAGGATCTCTGGGTTCAAGGCAAGCTTGGTCTATATAAGAGTTCCAGGACAGCCAGGGATAGAGACCTGTCTCAAAAAAACAAACAAAAACAAGCCCAGGGTGGTGGCACACACCTTTAATCCCGCTACCTGGGAGGCAGAAATGGGTGGATCTCTGAGTTTGAGGTTAGCCTGATTTACAGATCAAGTTCCAGAAATGCCAAGGCTACACAACCAAGGCTATAACCCTGTCTTAACCCCCCTCAAAAAAAAAGGAAAGAAAGAAAGAAAGAAAGAAAGAAAGAAAGAAAGAAAGAAAGAAAGAAAGAAAGAAAGAAAGAAAATGGTACATTAGGATATAAGCATATCTTTTCTTTTATCTGAAATTGGCAGAAACATTTAAAGCATCTCATATACTTGATGAACTATGATATAAATAAGTGATGAATACATACATTCAAAATGAAGTGTCAATTGAAGTTGCATCTGGGTATGGTAGCACATCCCTATAAATCTCAACACTCCGGAGGCAGGGCTGCAGGCCTACTTGGGCTACATAACAAATATCTGACTGTTCAGGACTATGTTGCAAGAACTTCTTATCTCTGAAAGAAAGAAAAATATTATACCCGGGCAGTGGTGGTGCACGCCTTTAATCCCAGCATTCAGGAGGCAGAGCCAGGCGGATCTCTGTGAGGTCGAGGCCAGCTTGGTCTACAGAGTGAGATCCAAGACAGGCACCAAAACTACACAGAGAAACCCTGTCTTGAAAACCATTAAAAAAAAAAAAAAGAAAGGAAGGAAGGAAGAAAGAAAGAAAAAGAAAAAAATATTACAAGTATTAGTGGGCTTTTTTAAAAGTGGAAATGAGTAAAAAAAAAAAAAAGCCGGGCGGTGGTGGCGCACGCCTTTAATCCCAGCACTCGGGAGGCAGAGTCAGGCGGATCTCTGTGAGTTCGAGGCCAGCCTGGGCTACCAAGTGAGTTCCAGGAAAGGCGCAAAGCTACACAGAGAAACCCTGTCTCGAAAAACCAAAAAAAAAAAAAAAAAAGTGGAAATGAGTATATGTGTGTTGAATGAACATATGTACAGGCAGGTGTATGTATGGAGACCAGAGTACATCAGGTGTTTGCTCTATCACTTTCCACCTTATTTTGAGACAGATCTTTCAGTAGGCAGGCAGCTAAGAAGCCCCAGAGATCACCATATGACTTTTGTTTTGTTTTGGTTTGGTTTTTTCAAGACAGGGTTTCTCCGTGTACCCTTGGCTGTCTTGGAACTCACTCTGTAGACCAGGTTAGACTTGGAACTCACAGAGATCCACCTGCCTCTACCTTCAGAGTGCTGGGATTAAAAGTGTTTGCCACCGCTGCCCGGCTGAAATACTTTTCTTTAAAAGTAAAATTATATAGAATGATATTTTTAAAGCCACCTGTACATATATACATACACTCACACATATATGAATGGAATCTTTGAATTTCTTAGATGATTTCTTTTATGTGCATGAGTGTTTTGCCTACATGTATATATGTATGTACACTCTGTGCATGCCTGGGGAAGCCAGAAAAGGGAACTGGAATTACAGTCAGTTATGAGTTGTCATGTGAGTGCTGGAAACCAAACTTGAGTCCTCTGTAAGAGCAGCAAGTGCTCTTAACTGCTAAACCATCTCCTCAGTCCCCATGAAAGGAATCTTTATTTGAAAAGAAAGAAAGGGTAGGTATGGTAGTAGATACCTATAATCCCAGCTTTTCTCTCTTTTTGTTTGTTTCTAGCGGGGAACAGTGTATCACTCAGTAGCCCAGCCTGGTCTGGAGTGCAATATGTAGCCAAGGCTGGGTTCCTGAGCACTGACTGGGGTTACTTACATGTGTGAGCCACCACACCCAGCTTTCTTTTTTTCTTTTATATGGAAGTTCTTGACATTTCCTCACAGACCACTGTGCTTTCTGAGCTGTTGGGCAAAAGCCTGCGATTAAAAAGGGCCACATGTATGCAGATGCCTCCACATAATAAAGGGTACATGTAGTAGGACAAGACAACAGAGTAGCCCCTCAAGCTTGGTGGTTCACTCTGGCTAAAACATTTCTTTCACTTTATATCATTAGGTGGCACTGTGGGAAATCAGAAGGAGAAACATTCCCAGAGGGATTCAAAGTAGGAAAAATTAGAGTTAAGGTGAACATTTACTTTTAAAGACTTTTGAAAATTTTTTTTAAAGTACCTATCAGCTCTGCTAGGAGCATGAGCCTTTGGAATGAGAATAAGAATGTTTCCTGTTGAGGTTGGAGAGATGACTCAGCAGTTAAGAGCACTTGCTGCAAAGCCTGAGGTGGTGGTGCAAGCATTTAATCCTAGCATTTGGGAGGTAGAGGCAGGTGACCTCTGAGTTCAAGGCCAGCCTGGTCTACAGAGAATGTAGAGGCAGGTGACTCTGAGTTCAAGGCCAGCCTGGTCTACAGAGTTCCAGGACAGCCAGGGCTATACAGAGAAACCATGTACTCCGTCTCGAAAAATGAAAGGGGGGGGGAGCACTTGCTGCTCTTGCTGAGGATCTGGGTTTGATTCCCAGCACCCACATGGTGGCTCACAGCCATCTAAAACCCCAGTTTGAGAGGATCCTGTGCTCTCGTGACATCCAAGGCACCAGGAGTGACAGTGCATGGTGCGCAGACATACATGCAGGCAAAACATTCATATACATAAAATAAAATAAATTTTAACAAAATTTTCCTGTTCTCAGTCATTTCTTTAAAAATCCAAACAGAATTGAGAGGGGGGAAAGTGGGGGGGTGGTCTGCAGCCACTTGAGGAATGATGCTTGTATCTTTATGCCATTCAGCTCTGGAGTAAGCTTCAAGTACAGCCTTTACCTTTTTACTCAAAGCCATTGCAAGGGAAATGTCTAAGAGGAAAACCTCCTACTCCTTTGAGGTCACTAACCACTCTTCTTTTTCTTTTTCAGTGAACGAGATAATTGGGAGAGACATGTCCCAGATTTCTGTTTCCCAAGGCCCAGAGGTGAGCAGAGACGCTCCTCTCCCACGTTCCAAGTCCCCAGATTTAGGAAGATCTGATGGGCTCTAACTGCAGCTTTGTGCCCACTACCTGCTTCTCTCTTGGACCGTGGGTTTCCAACCAGACTTCAGAACCTGTTCCAGGAGTTGGACTCACTGTGGGAAAAGCAGCATTCCTCCACCTCAAGCCTTGAGCAGATTTTGTAAAAGAACAGGAACAGCATAGGCTGTTTTAAGCTGTGGGAAAATGAGCTTTGCTTTTTTTTTTTTTTTTTTTTTTAAGTTAAATAGGATACTTTTATATGATGGGTGCTTTGAGTGTGAATGCAGCAGGCTCTCTATTTCAGAGGTGCTGCTCTTGCAGGTGACCTGGTTGCATAGCTAGGATTAGTAATTTGTACTGCTTTCTGGTCATTTGAAGAGCCCTTTAGTCTTGATGATATTTTTAAAGTAAGAAATTTTGATAAAACCTCCCAGAGGCAGACAAAAAAAAATATACTTAGTCCACACTTACACCTCAAAAACTTAGCATGCATCCTGAAGCCTTTCATAGATTCATAGGAAATAAAGCCAAATGTAGCTTATACTCTTTATAAAAAGTACAATGTTAGGTAAATCGAGAAGAGACCATTCCATCATTGAAGTGTTGGAATATGAATACATTCCAGAGCATAAGTCTTTTTGTAACTTTAGATAGTCATCAAGCAGCCTCTCCATTAGCTCCACATTCAAGCTGTTTTCTTCCCTCAGGACCTGGGGTAAAATGATCATTTGTAAGGTGAATTTCAAAGGTAGGGTTTTAGCTTGGGTAGTTATTTTCTACCTAACTTTTCAAGTGGGAGCATCTGCCTTGAGTCTGTAGTCTTTGAAGCCAATCTCCTTGAAGTCAGGCCGGCAGTGTCGTCGGGAGCTAAACATGAATGAGCTGTGTACTAGGAGAGGCAGAGAAAATGCAGGATCCAGATGAGAAGGCTTTAAGATTCACAATGGCATAGAAGGCTTATCTCCTATTCTGTTTACAGCCTGCAATGATTCTGTCCCCTGTGTCCTGACTGAATGACCTAAAAACCAGGCTTTTCTCAAAAGGCTTTGAAGCACATCCAAAACTGAAGTGGTGTCATAGACCTGTCCTTCCACACCAAAGACACCTGGTGCTGCTGCTGGTTAGGCTTCTGTCCAAGGCAGGGGCCAGCAGAATCTCCAGCCTGCTGTCTACCAAAGGAGGTGCCCTAGTTGGGTACTGTTCCCAAACCCTGCCTTTACCCCTTCCCTTTTAAATTCCCTAAATTTGACAGTGTTTTCAAGTGAAATAATGTACTTTCATTTATTCAGGAAGCAAATTGAGTGCCCACAGGTGAGACACTGCTGCACTGGCTAACAACTTAATGCTGTTACTTTAGGGGATTGTGATCCTTGATGATAGGGCTTTCCTTACCAAGGCTGTATCAGGCCTAAGCAGGGTCTAGGCTGTTGCCCACCACCCCTAATGAGCAGGGTAGGAGATACTGATTCAGGATGAGGGAAATATGTGTTTGTTTTTAACATGATGCTTTAAATTTCTCCCCTCTAACTAGTTAGGAAACAGTCTGTCAGCAAATGCTCTGGCCATTCTTGGAGCTGGATATTTTCCAAATTTCTCTGAAAGTGAGTTTTGTATCAGTGAGTGTGGATAGTGAGATTTGCTTTAGGGCCTGTGGTTGGTAGCCCACAGCTTCATCTACAGGGCATTGACCTCTCAGGTGAATTTGCAGAGACTTGGCCAAATTTGCTTCCACCCTCTTTCCCCTGGGGTAGCTGCCTCATGTGGGGTCATTTGCATGACCCCTTGGGGGTGCTGCTTTGCTGCCTTCAAGAATAAAAGCCTCTATGATCCAGAGTTGCTATGCACCAAATTCTGATGCCTTTTAAATACCTTGATGCCTGTAGCATTAGAAATGCTTTCGTATTTAAAACAGTTAGATTTTAAATAGAGCTTTGTATTCTGTGTAACAGTTTTATATTAGCTTTGTATAAGCTTTCTTGGAAGAGTCATATTTTTTGGCTTTGTAGATAAAGACTTAAATTTTTGTGCAAAATAGTGATGGTAAAGCACACATCCATTGGACTATGCAAATTGATTTCTAGTAACAGCACTGAGCAACTGGGCATTTGCTAGCACACACCCTTTCCTCTCACCTGTACTAGACCTTGGGTTGAGGAATGGAGGAGCAGCCTTCTGTTTACTAGAGATGCAAGAAACATGGCTGAAAACATTAAAAAGAAATGTTTGGGTTCATATGTGGTGCTGCTGCCCTGGGTACAACCCACCACCACCACCCAGGACCAGCCAGTATCACCAGACCTCTGCTGGGCCTAGCTGAGGCCCAGTTTTTAATATGTAGGACACATGGTCACCTTGTTCTGTATCTGAACAAGGCTCAGATGGGCTCAAGTTGAAACCACGTGTTTTATAGAACGGATGTTTAAGTAAAGAAATTGGTTCTCAGTTATGTTTACAGCACTTGGAATTGTGTTTTCTTGTACATTTTGTATTTTAAAATCTTTTATAGGAGTGCAGTGCTCCTTACACAAACACAAAGGGAAGATGAGGCGGCAGTTGAGGCTCCTCCTCGGTTACAGTGCTGAAATAATAAACAGATGAACAGTCTCCTTGAAATCTGAGTCTTTATCCATCTGGGACTGCTGTGGAACCCTTTGGGCCAGAGTTAAGGGCTCTGTGGCTTCTTAAAAGTCCACTTGACCAGGAACTTTCATTCACTTTACGGAAAAGATAGAGTTCAAAATTCCTTCTGGGATGAGTTCTGCACCCATTAATGGATGCAAAGGACATACCACAGTGTTTGCTGGGCTCTGGACAACTGGTCTTCCAAGGTGTTGCAAGAAAACGTTGACAAAGTCCCATTTAAATTCATCCTGAGTTTGCAAGTGCTACCTGCCCTCTGGTGTTCTCTGGGGATATTGCAGAGCACAATCCAGAATAGCTTGGTGTTTTTGTAGTTTGTGGTAGGGATATAGCCTTGGCTGGCCTAGAACTGACTATGTAGACCAAACTGCCTCCTGAGTGCTGAGTTACAGGCGTGAACCATCACGTCCAGCTGCTGGTTTTGCCATCTGAAGTCCTTGGGTGTGGCTGGAGGGGACTTATTTGAGGCCACCCCTGGCACTTTGTTTCTGAGGTCCAGGTACCCTGAGGGTGGGTACTAACTTGCTGCCTTCCTGCCTCCTGGAAGGATATGGAGAGTAGAGAGTTGGGGTCTCGGGCTCAGGTGGACTCTTGATTTTCCCAAGAATCATAAATATCAACCTGGGCCTGCTGTGTACCCTTCAACTCTAGTATTTGAGGGCCAAGGACAGATCAAAGGCTTCCTGGGTGTCACACCATCAGGAATAGAGCAGCCTCATCACCCCAGCCCTGCCTGTAAGGTAGTCATCTTTAGGGTAAGCAGGCAGAGGAACAAGGGTATGTGGGAGGAAGGAGAATGGTGCCTTTGAGAGCTTGGACAAGCCAGAAAGAAGCCACTGGATTGAAGGTACTCTGCACTCAGAAAAGGCATGTTAGCGGAGGACATCAGCTCAGTCTGCTTCCTGGTTTCCTCTTCTACAAACACACCCACTCCTTGGGAGCTTGTAACACAGTGCGAGGTGGGTCACCAACAGACATCAGAGTGGTGTAGTCATCAGGGGCCAGCTGCAGAAGTGACACGGATTTAGGGGATGGAGCTCCAGGTTCAGCTAGACCCTCAAGCCCTCCCAACCACACAACCTCACCTGGTAGGCTTGGAAGACACTGAGGAGATCCTTCATACCAGCCGTATATGGGACCCCCTGCATTCGGACCAGGGCCCCTGGCTGTGACATCATTGAGGTGGGAGTAGAGGCCAAGGCAGTAGGAGGTGTGGTGAGGTAGCCCACAGTAGTGGGGGAGACTGGGGGACTAGGGTGGGAGAGACAGGAATTGAGTCACACATCCCACCTGTATCGTAGACCAAGACCATCCCCTCCTGCACCTCTACCTCTACAGTGATATCTCCAATCTGTCAGCCCACACCTGTAACTCCCTTGCCATCTCATCAAAATGAAGTCTGATTTCTAAGTGATCTTGGATTATCTGGGCCAGAAATCTATCAGGACCCTTCTAAATGGTGACAGCAAGTCTGTGAGGCAGTCCTAGAAGCAAGGTACCTGGGGTAGTAGGCTGTGTAGTTCATGTACAGTTGAGTGGCTGGCCCTGGGTAGTAGGCAAGAGGAGCAGGGGCAGCAGGTACCCTGGCAGCTGGAAGCAGTGCAGATGAAGGATATAGTGCAGTTGTCTCTGTGGGAATGAGGGCTGGGGTGGCTTGGAAGGTGGCATAGGTAGGTGGTGAGAGGCCTAGAGACAAGTAAAGAGCACATTTACAGAGAGCCCACAATTCCCCTGGATAGGGCAACTAGAATGGAAAGTGGTGGCTTGCAACACCTTGGCTCCCACATGCCTCCTCTAGCCCATGAAGCACTCACAGGGCAGTTTGCAGGGTGGGGGGGACATGCCACTGCGGCTCAAGGAACCCCCCATCAGCACACGGCTCATCTCCTCTGTGGAACAAGGGACGACTTCCACGTAGCGTTCTTTCATCACCTTCTTGTGGCAACGCTGGGCAGCAGCCAGAGCACGCTCCGATGACATCATCTGGATGAAGGCATCACCAGATGGCCGGCCCTGTGCACACCACCTTGTAAGCGGTTTGCCACATATAAAAACGCCTTACTCTTAACATAGCCTTTCCCGCCCTGTGCTGGTGCCCTTCCTAGCCGTAGTCTCACCTGCTGGTTGAGCACCATATGCACACCGTGAGGCCGAATGTCAGCTGCTGCTTCTCCTAGAAAACTCAGAATGTCTTCAATGGTGGCTGTGTAGGGCAGGCCTCGAAGGCGGACACAGTCCCTCCCGGCCCCTCCTGCCAGTGGGAAGGGCATGGGCAGCAGCGGAGCAGTCAGTGTGGGAAGGAGTGGGCTGGTTGCATAGCGGTTCAGGACCTAGTAAGAAAGGCAGCAGGTTTACCAGGCTATGTCGCCACCCAAGGCGCACTGAGACATAGGGAGCCTGGAGTGCTCACCTGCTGCACCTCAGCTGCAGTGCTCCTGAAGAGTTCGATGTATCGCTTACCCAGCATGCCCTTGTGCCTGCGCAGAGCAGCCTGTGCCTGTTCCTCACAGGCAAAGAGAGCAAAGGCATCTCCGGTTGGCCTGCCATCAGGGTGGCGCACAAAGAGCAGCCCATCAGCACCCCCAGACACTGGGCATTCTGGCCCCAGGAAGCCCAGAACATCTGTTGGCCCAGCTGAAAAAGGGAGTCCCCGTAGCCTCAGGATCACTTGATCTTCCCGGGACAGGAAACGGGCCACCTCTAGTGATGTGCCTAGGTTGGAAGAACAGGAGACACTTGCTGATTTAATCCTTGTAACATGCACCCACAGGGGACCCAAGAAGCAATGAGTGGTAGGGAAAGGGATAGATCAAGAGCCTTCTATGGGCACACTCACCCCCTGCGATCTTTACAAACTCCTCCCCTGTGGCTTTATATACCTGTGGGTATAGAAAGCAGCCCATAGGTCTCAGTCCTTACTCAGCTTTGCCCTGCTCCACTTCTAGCCCAAAGCCCCACCTCAATATAGCGGACACCCATGTGGTGCTTGTGTCTCTGCAGCGCTAGGTCCCGCTGCTCGCTGTCCACGAATCGGATGAGGGCCTCGCCATTTCTGCGGCCCTGGGCGTTGAGACAGAGTGCTACACCACCCCTGTGGAGCCAGTGTTGTTAGTGCCTCCTGGGTAGGCTTGCCCGCTTACCCCTCCCATCCTGCCACACCCACCTGGCAATGTTGAGCCCTTTGAAGAATCGAGCCACATCCTGGTCTGATGACTGCCAGGGCAACCCACGGGCCCGTACGACAGTCTCATTGTCCACCACATCAGCCTTGCTGCTGTGGGGGCAGGACACGGGATCAGAGCTGTCCAAATGTTGTCACCCCCACCCCTGCTCCCACACTCACCAAGGCCCCGTTTCATATTTCTGCTTTACCACCTCTGGCTTCGAAAACAACTGACCTGAGAGGAGATGGCATGGGGGTCAGCAGGGTCTGGTGGAGGAAGTCTCCCCACCAAGCTCTGCAAAAATAGGACAGGTGAGGGAATTGAGGAGGTCATAGAGGGGTTTCCACCTTGTGTTCTCTTAGAGAAGGTCACAAGTCTGCAAAAGGACTCCAAGGAATAGGCATTCACCCAACCCTGACAGTAGGTGACAAGCCGTGCAAGATTCTTACCATTGGGCCCTTCAAGTAGGTGGAGAATAACAGCTACCATGGTCTTAACTTCCCAGACCCCAAAGTCATCTTCTGTTGCATCTGTTTCTAGTCCCAAGTCTACAGGCAGAGAAGTGACAACTAGGGTCCAGGTTCATACACCCCACATCACCCCCAAACACCCGCAGAATCTTAGCAAACACTAGCTATGGCCCAGCTCACACATGCACCTACAGGCCTTCAGACCAAACACAGACATGCCCACATTCCAAATGTATCCCAGCATAGGTGCAGTCATGGGAACCCTAAAGGACAAGGCCAAAGACAAAGACCTGCCTACATTAGTATAACCCCTACAGCAGTGAGCACATGCTTGGACAGATTAGCCACCCCTCCACCTTAATTCTGCTGGGTCACAGGTACCCTGTGCCATGGTGCCCACTGTGAGGTCCCTGGTGGGGCAGGCGCTTGGGTGCTGCATATGGAACTCTCTTCGGAGATCGTAGAAGGAGAAGAAGGTGTCCGGGAGCACCAGGTTCTGGGAGCACATGGGAGTAGGGATGAAGAGGTGAACTAAGGTATCCTGCTCATTCCCACAACAACAGGGATCTTGCAAACCCAACCACCCATGTGCCCTTAATGGCATACCTTCCTGGAGGCCTCAGGGTGCAGAACCTGTCGCAACAGCTGCTGCCCATCAGTGCAGAGCACATAGGGGCCTCCGCCCAGCAGAGCCACATCCCTGCTCACCAGCTGTGAGAACTGGGGACAGGGAGTGGAGACTCAGACATAGATTCACAGCTAGGCAGGCTGAAACTGGGGGTAGGAGGAGGGAGGGACTCAGGCTGCAAAGCTGGTTCAGCAGGATGTTCAGCCCTACCCTGCCTGGGAAGTAGAAGGCCTTGCTCTATATCCCAGGCTCCTCCTAATCACCACCCTTGCCCTAGTCCACTGTCACCTCCTCTAGGCCAAATGAGAACAGTCACACATAACCCAAGCCCCCATCAAACACTCCAGGAGTCTGGAGTAAGGCCAGAGCAAACACCTGGTGGAGTGAGGCAAGCAGGTGGAGAGGGGCGGGGCAAAGCAGGTTAAACCTGTCCTGGACCAGGCACCAACCTCAGACAGGTGGGGGAGGCTCACACCTGCCCGAGGGCCAGAAGGCTCATGGTCAGTGGCAGCCCCGCCCCTTGGTCTGACCAACCCAGGAACGGAGAAACACCAAGGACAGAGCTTCATACTTGGACGCTAGCGGCCGCCTGAGCTTTGACCCACACCCTATCGACCAACTGGCACTGAACTGTTTGCTCATAGAGGGGGTAGCACTCTGAAGGCTGCCCAGCACGCTCCTGCCTTTCCCCTGCCAATTCTGTGACACTTTTCAGCCTAAGGCTGACAGCAAGGCACCCAGATTTTCTGCAGCACCCTCCCAGGTGAGCAATAGGTTAGGCCTGGAGCCCTTCTGCAACATGCTCAGATTGAGCATCTTTGTTTCCTCATTAAGAACCACAGGGTTGGAAGAGGAAAGATTCTATGCTTCTAAAGACCTTACACTCGTTATAACTCGGTCATGGGGTGAGTGCAGCAGTGCAGACAGAAAATGAGCAGTAAGACTAATTCCCACTTGACGGGGTCGGGGGAAGGGGAGCAGGACCCGAGGCCTTCACGCTCAGCAGGCGAGTAGCCCCCAGGTAGAGTACGGACAGCACCCACGCCTGGCTAGTCGGCTGGGACAGGCCTAAACCAGCAGCCCTCACCTAGCGGCGTCTGCCCCTGAGGCAGACACCGCCCGACGCCCCCGCTCCAGCCGCTCCCAAGAGAGCAGGCAGCAGGGACCAGTGATCCAGGGCCAAACTTGAGTTCCTTGACCCTATTTCTGAGTGGTCTGGACCTCGCTCCTCTGCTAGCGGGGGAGGGGGGCAGATGAAGGGACCTCAGGGGTGGATCCCTCAGCCGCTATTGTCACCCCCTCAACAGGAGTGGGTGCCTGTAAAGGTTGGAAAGTAAGGTGCCTCTGGGAATGGCCTAGCACGCGGTAGTCGCTCAGAAGTTTCAAACAAGACGCTGTCCTACTGTCTGCCAGGGAAGTCGCGGCGCTCACCCCGGCGAGGGAGCGCCTCGATCGCCTCGCTGCTCCACACCACCCACGCGGACCCCCAGGCTGGCTCACCTGCTGCAGCACCTTGTCCAGGGACTCCGCCCGCGCTAGGCTGTCTGCGCTGAGGCCGCTCGCCTCGCGGCACTGCGGACTCAGTGCAGCCGCCTCGCCGCGAACCAGCGACTTGTGCAGGGTCCCCACCTAAGAGCAGCAGGGATAGCCCGGTGAGCCGCTGTGCCTCGCCGGCCTTGAAGCGTCCTGCGGGGCCCCGCCACCTCTCTCCACCCTACCTGTCGGCTGCGCGGCTCCACCACTTGCCAAACTAGGAGGATTAAGTCGGTCTCGTCCGAGCCTAGGTCCGGCCCCAGCGCACCAGCAGTGGCCCCAAACAAAACGACCAGCGACTCGGGCCCGGGGCTGGGGTCGGTGGCGGAGTCTACTGCGGGATCTGGGCCCGGGGGTGGGGGCGGAGGCGGCGGTGGAGTCATGGCCGCAGAGGAAGGGGGCGCTCGGCCACACACACACACACACACACACACGCGGACCGACGAGGCGCACGCACGCACCGACCGACGGCAAACAGAGGAGCTTGGGCGGGATCCGGGGTGTTGGGGGCGGCACCTGCGGCGGGGCTGTTACAGTGGGAGCTGCAGAGACCCGCCCGCGGTGCCCTTTGGGGCTGGGCGGTGCGGCTGCTGGTCCCAGCCTACTCCGGCGAGATACCTGCCGCCCCGAGGACCACGTGATCGGGGCGGCCCCGGGAACCTCGGGGGAGGGCCAGAACCCTGGCCAGGAGGCGAGCACTCACTTTAGCCTTGGCGTGTGCTCGGCGGCTGGAGCCCTGCGGGACTCCTGGGACGAACTCCTTCTGTCTCCTGCTTCCTCTCCAGCAGGCAATGGGTCCTCCGCAAAAGAACGTTCAGAATCAGAGGCCTTTTCCATTCCGCGAGGGTCATGCGGAACCCGTGGAAGCCAAAAGGAGTCAATCTATGGGCTGTAGAGGGGTCACGACGTCCGGCTTGGGGGTTAATGGAAGTCACAAAGGGTCAAAACCCGACAGTGAGCGCTACCACGTATCCACTGGAGGATCGGTTGGGGAATGGGAGGGCGGCAAAGATCAAGGGTTCTTAGAGCTGTGGGCGGTCACTAGAGATCACAGGGAAGAACGTGCCCGTACAGGTGTTAGAGTCCGCCTTGGGCTGCGTCGGCCAAGTGCCGGCAGTGCAAAGCACAGTCACTGTGGACGCGAGGGCTCAAGCCTTGATGCCAGGGAAGGAGCACCTTTCCTCAAACCCTAGAGAGCTGCATCCTAAGCAAAGCTAAACCAGCTAAATGATCGGCGCCTGGAGACTCAGCCTACCTACCCCACTTGGGGGTGGCCTGCCTGTTTCCGTCTTTTCTTGGACGATAGATGTACGATCTGGAGATTGAAAGCACTCCGGCAGGTACCGGCTAGCGGTGAGCTGTGTACGCGCGCACGCAGGCTACAGTCTGCATCCCAACCCAATTCAGACTAGTCCCATCCGCCCCATGGAGTTTGGTGAGACTCCTTTACTGTTGTTTCCAGGCCGCCCTGCGCGCTCGGGATAGTTTTCCTTCTACTCGACTGTAACTAGTAATCTGGCGGGAGGAAAGACCTACAGCCTGGAGATGCAGGATACCAAAACCAAGGCTGAAGAAGAACCTCGTGTGTTTAGAAAAGCGGGGCGCTATATATGAGTCTTGGATAAAAAGCAGCCCAGAACCCGGGCGCATCCCCAACTCATGCCCAAGGAAGGAGTGCGGAGCCAGGGAACCTATAACGGGTAGTGCGCCTCCCGGGTTTTCCCACACAGTAGCGCAGGAACACAGTAAACAGATATAGTGGAAGGTGGTTGGTGGGCGAACCTTGCAATCCCTATCCGAGCGGCCCACCGGGAGCCAGCCTTCTAAGCCCCGCCCCCGACGATAAACCTGGAATGTCAAATATTTGCTCAAGGAACCTAGTGAAACCTTGAGGTAAAGCCCCTCCCTTTCCGGAGCGCGCCTGCCCTGCGTCAGTTCAGACTTTCCAGTAGGACACTCCCTTCCAACTAGTTCCTTCTAGCCGCCATCCGCCACGCCTCGTCCTGGTTATTTAAACTTCAAGGCCTGAAACGCTACAGGCTCCAGTTTAATGGGGCACAGCCCCGGCGTCGCTTCAGGGCGCTCGCGGTATAGCCGTGAAGTCTCTACCCACAACCTCCCAACAGGGCTTCCCGCTTCGTTCAACTTGTAGACCTTGCTCCCGATTCTCCAAAGACCTTCGACTGTGGGATCCCTGACTGTCCTGAGCCCACTGGAAAGAAGCGTCAGTGCCCAGATTCCCACTAGGTGAAGCACAGTACTTACGGACAGACTGGGTGGTTCCTCTCAACTCTGGTGCGCTCATCCGGCCATTCTCCATAGTAAAACTGTTCCAGACCCTCAAAGTCTTTGATTTTTATTTGTTTGATCATATTTATTTGTGCTTGTGTGTAGGTGCGTGCGTGCCACAGCGCTTGTGTGGAGGTCAGAGGACAACTA